CCCGGGTCACATGCGGGGTCCTCCTGCCCCGCGGGGGCCCCCAGCGCCCGTGTCCACGCGCGTCCCCGCCCCCGCGCCGCGCTGGGCGCCCACAGAGCACTCGAGGCCGCCGCTCCAGCACTTTATTCCCGCGCTCGCCGCCCGCGGCTAGAAGAAGTTGACGACCCTGCGCAGCGACTGCACGCGGCCGCTGTGCGCCTCCCAGTCGGAGAAGCCGCGGAAGTCGCCGCGCTCCAGCAGGAACATGCGGCCGCGGTAGTTGGGCTCCTCGTACAGCACCCACCTGCGGGCCAGGGCCGGGTCAGGGCGCCCGCACTCGGGACAGCGGGGCCGCCGCGCAGTCGCGTGGGCACGGCCGGGGGACGTGGGCGGGCCCCGTCGCTGTCCCCGTGCCCAGTGCCCAGCCCGCGGGATGCCCCTCCACCACCGTTTACCTGCAGCACCCCGATCCCGGAAAGGACCCACAGGCAGACAGCAGCCACGGGACCTGGCGGGGGCCCGTCACGGGCCGGGGACCGATCCCTATGATTCCTTTCTGCACTCAACACTCCCAGCTGCGCGTGTGCCCCCCACGAGTGGTAGTGTGCGAGATGCCCAGGACAGTCAGACAGGCTCAAGCCCAGGAGCCAGGTCACCGGCCCCGGGAAGGCAGCGCGCCTCCCCAGCCCGCCCGCTGAGCCCTCCTGCACCGCACCGGGGTCCCACACCGCACTGCCCCCGGGGTCCCTGGGGCCCAGGCCTCAGGGGGTCGGACGCTGGGTCTTTGCAGATCCCCCGCCTGGTCCTAAGAGCACCCTGCGCCAAAGGGCTTCTTCCCAGACAGACCCCGCGTTTGTGAGCTCTTCCAGCCCAAGGCCTGCTTGCAGATGTGGGGGTGAGGAACAGCGGCCCCCGGGGCCCACAGCTCACCGCACAGCTCTCCCTCACTCCCCCTCCGGGCCGGGCTTGGGGCCCGGCACAGTCTGCGGCCGGGAGGTCAGGGTTGGGCGTGGGGAGAGGAGACGGCTGTGAGCGCGCTGCTGGGGTCAGTCCCTCCCTGCTGCACGCCGGTGTGAAATACCTGCGCAGCGTGGGGGTCGCCCTGGAGCTTGCACAGACGCCCCCAGAGGAAAGGGCGCAGACTCCAGGGGAGCGCGCAGAAACGCCACCAGGTGGTCCCCAGGGCGTGGATGGCAGCGTCACCCCCAGATCAGGGGACCCAGCGGCCACCGTACAGGTGGCGTTCCCTTGAGAAGGGCTTGGATATTCTTTAGGAATTAAAGACACAGGAGCCGAGAGACAAGCCCAGAACCCCCATTCCGCGCGGCTCCTCGCTGGGAACTCGAGGGTAAAGGTCGTGCAGCCCTGAGGTCAAAGGACATGAGCTCTGCCTTCCCCACGTTTTCCTTCTCACTGAGCCCCAGTCCCCAGGGGTTGTGGGGGAGTGGATGTTGCCTGGGGAAGAGGAGGAAGCTGCGCAGGGACAGGGCCGCGGGACACGGCGCGCAAGGCTGGGGCCTGACGCCCACCCCGACCCCGTACTCACGCTCCATCCCCGTACACCTTGGCGGCGTTGACGCAGCTCTTGGGCCAGCCGCGGCTCTGCAGGAAGGGGCAGTCCTCCACCAGCTCCAGGCTCTGGCCTGTGAAGTTGCAGCCCTCGAAGATTTCTATGCGGAAGTGCTCTCCGTGCTCCGGGAACCAGCGCCGTGGGGAGGAAGGAAGGCGAACCCTCAGCGCCTGCTCCCCGCACCCAGACCCAGGCGGCAGGGAGCTTGGACCCCCAAGGGCTCTGGGCACACGAGAGCGCCTGGACTGGGCAGGGGCGGGCGTGGCCCCCACCCCCACCCCCACCCCACACAACCCTCTGCTTATTCTTTCCTGTGAATTTGATGGGAGAAGTCTTACTACTTTCAAGCTTCAAAGCAGCTGAACTGGCCCAGTCTCTCTACACCTACGGAATCTCAGGTCCAGAGAGGGCAAGGCTGCTCCAGCAGCCCGTCAGACAAGGGCTGAGAACTCTGGTGCCCCTGGGGTGTTCATCCTGCGGGACTCCTGTGCCAGCTGCCACGGACACATTCTCCAGCTTTGACTTCTACACCCTGGGCTGCGGACCACAGGCAGGCCCTCAAATGATATTTTAAATCTGTAACAGAACCTTTTATAAAAACATGAAGCCAAAAATCTAAACCAAGTAACATGTCATCTGCCGAAGTTCAGGCTGGTCTTGACGTCACTGCTCAGTAATGTGAGCTCATGTGTCTCCCCCTTTCACCCCCGTGTTTCCAAAGGCCAGAGGAGGACCTGCTCCCCACGGGCCGGGGCCTGGGCCCGTCTCACAGCGGGCCGGCGTGGCTCTTGGAAGAAAGCATTCATGAGATGCCTGGTGTACTTTTCATAGAAATACCATTATGCAGGCTCTGGGCCAACCGTTTGAATTCCTTTTGCTAAATGTCCATGGCCTGGCAGAAGTACTAAGAAAGCATTCTTACAGTTTGAGATGCCAGGGCGCAAATGGTTTTGCAACTGGTGGAGAACAGAGGAGGGCCCCGCGTAGAGAGGCGCCTTCCCCGAGACCCCTGAGATGTTCTCTGGAGCGCTGGCCGAAGGCTCCCGGGAGGGCCAGGCGGCAGGCGGACGCCGACCACAGCTGCTCACACAGTCTCTCGGAGCGGCCGTCTCCCGACAGGACAGAGCTCACAGCAGGGGGGTCGGTCCTTCTGACTGGGGGAGCCCTGCATTCCCAAAGCCCACCCTAAGGGCAGCTCAATACCCACAAGCCCTTCCCGGGGAGGCGGGGAAGCCCACCCCCTTTGTTCTCCCGATGTACACTGGGTTACACCTGTGACATGCAGCCGCCTGCAGTCCCAAGAGGCCTGTCCCCAGATCCTCTGCGGACGCCTCCTCCGCGATCTCCCTGTGGTGGGGCGCCAAGGATTCCACAGAGCGCTACAAGGCTCCCGCCCTGGGTGGTCCCCAGGCTCCAACCAGGCTGCTTTTGCCGTTTGCTCTTATCTGGTTGCAAATCCAAACTCTTTTTCTCTTTTCTTTGTTTTGGCTTTTGAGACAGAGTCTCGCTATTTGGCCTAGGCTGGCCTCAAACTTGTGACAATCCTCCTGCCTCAGCCTCCCAAGTGCTGGGATGACAGGCGTGTGCCACCACAGCCACCATGGGTCTTAAAATTGAGAGGCTACACCCCCCGGTGGCCCTCCCGGCCTGACCCGCTACCTCGGCCCGCCCTCCACAGGCAGCCTCAGGCCCACTCACCATCCCCACAGGCCGACAGGAGCCCATGTGGTCATTGTGGCCGTTCCAGCGGAAGAAGTCGGGGTAGTCGCCGTGCTCCAGAATGAACTGCTGGCCCCGGAAGTCAGGGTGATCGAAGCAGACCCACGCCCCGCTCTCCACGCGGATGGAGTTGACCCGGTTCATAAAGCCTCGGTCCTGGAAGTTGTCGCAGTCCCCGAAGACCTCCAGCTTCCGCCCCGTGAAGTGTTGGCCCTCATAGAAGGTGATCTGGGAGGGCCAGGGCAGAGCTCCACGTCAGGGCCCCTTCTGTTCCGTGTCTGGGGCCTGGGTGCTGGTGTCTGGGTCACCACAGACTCACAGGCCACCACAGCCAGCCCGCTGTGCTCAGTAGGGCCCGGCACTGCCTGCAGATGGGGCGGACACACAGCTCTGGCCACGCTCATGGCTGGGCACGCTCTAGGGATGGACTTCCCAGTTTGTCAAGTTGCCCAGTTGAAAACGGACTCTTTCGAACTCCAGGTGGATCTGTTAAACCCAATTTTTATTTAATTTTGTTCGTTTGTTTTGAGACAGTCTTGCCTGTGTGTTCCAGGCTGCCCTTGAACTCACTGTGTGGCCAAGGCTGGCCTCACACTTGTGTTGATCCTCCTGACTCAGCCTTCCAAATGCTCAGACTATAAGCATGCACCACCACACCCAGCTCTTGTTTATTGTTAAAATATAATATCCATAGTAACACTAAAGGAGATGTTTTCAAAAGAATAAACTTCACCCACAAGCCAGCACGATAGCTCAACATTTATTTCTCAGAAAGTCAAGTTCCCAGGCCTTTGTTACTGCAGAGGCCAAGTCCCAGCGGGCAGGTCAGAGCCTGGCAGTGCCTTAATGTCCTCAAAAGAGAGCTCTGTCAGTGTTGCCCACCGCCCAGGATTCTGCAGGCCACTCGTGTGGGTAACAGGCAGTGGTCAGACCTGGAACTTTACCAACCCAGTAGTAGCTGAGACATGGTGTCCTGTAGCTAAGCAGCCCTCACAGGTTGTCCTTGTCCCTAAACAGAACCAGGGAAGGAAGAGCAGCCCCCAAACCCACCTCCTGCCATGGGAACTAAAATTCCAAACACTCAATAATTCTGTTGGTCAGCGGCAAAGCACCTGCCTGGCAAGCACAAGGTCGTGAGTTCGGTTCCCGGTACCGGAGAAAAAACCAAAAAAAAAGAAACAAAAAACAAAAAATTAAAAAAAAAAATAATAATAATTCTGTTGGCCTCAAGAGTCATGGCCCCTCTGCCTGGGAAGCACAAGGTCCTGAGTTCAATTCCCAGTACCAAAAAAACAACAACAGAAAACTTATGGCCCCTGAAGGACCCATTTAGAGGACAGTAACGTGACCCAGTGACACACTGTCACCCTGCCCCACCTCTACTTGCGGCTCTCCCAGGGAAATGTGGTGGAGTTGCCTGTGCAGGCCCCTGGGAGTTCGGGTGGCTGCAGGCTTTGTCAGAGGGGTGCAAGTGAGATGGAAGTTTGCCCGCTGGGGGCAACTGATTTTGAGGGCCCTTCCTTCCCCTCTCTTCTGCTGCTCCACCAACGCCCTGTGCAGTGTCAGGGAGCAGATACCCTGGTTGTTTTATGCTAGTTGGCCACCAGGGCTGTTTGTTACTGAAGCATAACGCAGGCCCTTGCAGACAGATACACCGTGAAGGGGCTTGAAAAGTCTCTGAAGGGCAGAGGCTTTGGTGGGTTAGGCAGAACAGGGACACTAGAGCAAGGGGAGAGGGAGTCAAACTTGTTGAGCAAGATGGGGCTGGTGGAGACAATCAGGGAGACCAAGAACGCCTAAGAGCGAGCGGAACAAAGCCTGTGCTTTGACTCGCTTCCTGCAATGAAGAGATGGCAGGGCAGGGTCTGTGGGGGCCACCGAGGCCCCCTGGGCTAGAAGCAGCCATACGTGACCTCAGGGAAGGGGCCCAGCAGAGCCCGGCTGCACCGCCAGCAAGGCCACCCACTTAACTGAGGATTTAAGCCAGCTCTGCCCGGTTTGCCATCCCCACGGGGCACTCGGAGCAGGGCTGTTTCCCTCTGTGCCCCTGGTGGGCAGCAACGGCCCCCCGCCCCACCCCTTGCAGGGGCCCATCCGGGCGGGAACGCAGATCCACTCACCTTCCCCGAGCACTGTGCCATGGTGTTCTGCTGGCCTCCGTGGGACCCCGCTTATACGGCGGCACCCTGCTGGCTCAGCCCGCCCAGGACAAAAGATTTGCTTGGCCGGGCACAGTTGCGTTAGTGCTGTCGGGCGTGCTAAGCCCGCGAGGGGCCGCCCGGCCGGCACTGGGACCCGACCCAGGCCACCCCCGGCCAGCCCCCAGGCCTCCTGCCCATGAGGACCCTCAGGCCCAGCCCACCGGAGCCCGCTGAGTCAGGGCTGCGCTGGTGCGGTGGGGAGGGGTCTCCCCGTCTCCCAGGGTCACCCCCCCTGCTCCTCCTGCTGAAGGCTACCCCCAGCCTGCCGCATCTCACCTGGCTGTAGTGTCACCTGTTACCTCCCCGTGTCTCGGGACAAAGGCGGGAGTCCAAGCGTTCAGTTCCCTCTGCACATCGTGCTCCAGTGCGCCCAGCCCTGGCCGCCCTCCCCTCCCTGGTCTCCCCACTTCCCTTTGCTCCTGCGTCCCACCTCCCTGGGAAGCCACCCTCTCCCTAGGTGTCACCTGCCCTGATACCAAGGAACTGAGAATCCCCCGGGGCACAGGAGTGCCGGGTGCACGCAAAGCCTCACTTGTTTGTGCAGGAAACACCAAGCCCACCAAGCCCAGGGGGTGAGCTGGGCACGACGGGGTTGGGCAACAGGGCTGGCAGGCTCTGAGCACAGAGGGGAGAAGCTGCAGGGGTGGAGAGAAGGGGGCTGGGGAGCTGTCAGGGCAGCGTGGGGAAGTGGAGCCATTTGTGCTGTTTTTGCGTGCTGGAGGTGGGACCCACAGCCAGACGCCTGCAGAGCTGAGCTGCACCCCTGGGCTGCAGGGTGCACTTTTATCACCATTTTTCCGGTGAGACTTTTGGGGCCCAGAGAGGAGGCCCGGTGGTTCTTGTGCAGAGCAGCAACCTTGCCCTTGCTCTCTGAGGCTGTCAAAGGCAGACACGGCACGGACTGGAGCCCACGCGCCTGCCGCCCCGGGGCCGAGGCCAGGCTTCCTTGGGGACCCACGAGCCGGGTCCTCCTCCCTCTCCACTGACACTGCTCTCCAAGCTCGAGTTCCAGCTTCACCAAGCCAGACAAGGTAGAGGAGAAGGAAAACGGGCTTACTGTTGCCTGAGTGTTGGACCAGGCACTGCTGAGGGGAGGACAGACCTCGCAGTACCCTGGGGTGTGCCCGCTGGCAACCGGGTGCTTAGCACGTGCAAGGCCCTGGTTCGACCCCAGCCTCGCAGAAAACATCTCACTCTTATGCAGCTAAGTGTGCACACCCACCTCGATGTCCTCAAGATGGAATCACTCATTTTGTCTTAAGGAAGGAAGGCAGCATTTGTAATCTGGAGGCAGATGACAGCTGAGATTAGGCTCATGGCCTCCCAGGACCTCCTTGGTTGGAGTGCCTTTCTCTTTCTTTTTTTTTTCTTTTTCTTTTTTGTTTTCTTTTTCTCTTTCTTTCTTTCTTTCTTTCTTTCTTTCTTTCTTTTTCTTTCTTTCTTTCTTTCTTTCTTTCTTTCTTTCTTTCTTTCTTTCTTTCTTTCTTTCTTTCTTTCTTTCTCTTTCTTTCTTTCTTTCTTTCTTTCTTTCTTTCTTTCTTTCTCTTTCTTTCTTTCTTTTTCTTTCTCTTTTTCTTTCCTTCTTTTTTCCTCCTTCCCTCCTTCTTCTCTTCTCTTCTTTTTATTTTTGAGACAGGGTTTAGCTATGTTGCCCAGGCTGGCCTTAAACTTCTGGCGATCCTCCCGCCTCAGCTTCCTGAGTGCTGGGGTCAGGGACAAGCACCACACACCTGACTAGATTTACTTGCTACAGTTCTGGAGGCTGGGATGTCCAAGGTGGAGGGACCTGCATCAGGTGACAGCCTGGGCCGCAGCACTGCACAGGAGCACCCCCGGGGCTGAGGGGAGGGAAGGGCTGAGCGGGCCGTGCCCCAGGAACTGGCTGCCAGGGCCTCACCGGCTCTGGGGGAACCGATCCATCCTCACCGCACGCGGCCCGCGTCTCAAGGCTGTGACAGTGGGGACTGCATCTGCAGCACGGGGACTTTCGGGGCCACCAGGAAGCCACCGCGCAGTGTTATCCGTCCGCCTGCAGACATTTTGCTTTCTTCCACATGTTGGAAATGAAGAAGGAAGCTGTGAACGACACCCCGTGCAGGTTTTGTGTGCACTCTGCATTTGCAATCCTTCGGACTTATACTAAGAACGTGACTGCTGGAGCACACATTAATGTTCTGTTTTTTATTTGGAGGTAGGGTTGTGCTAACTGGCCATGGCTGGCCTTGAATTTGCAATCCTCCTGCCTCAGCCTCCGAGTGCTGGGATTATAGGTGTGCATGCCACTATGCAGGCTTAGCCCAGCACTTGCTCCTGGGCCACCTCAGAAGGGCTCAGGAGGCCAGAGGTGTCCAAGAAATGATGCATGGGGGAGTGGACACTGGCTCGCTCCCAGGCGGCCAGGGTCCAGGCCAGGGAAGGGAAAGATCTAGGGCCGAATCCATGTGCAAGCCAACTGCCCGAGACCCCAACCGGGCTCCACCCTGTGCTGAGCCATCTTGCTGAGGGAAGGGGCCGGAAGTCCCCAGGGGACAGGCCTGGGAGGGAGGGACAAGCCAGAGGCCTGGCTGTGTGGCCTCCGCTGGCCCTCAATTCCAGCCCGGGTGGAGCAGAGGAAAGGGATGAAGCCTGACCCCTGGCGGTGGAAGCGGCCAGCCGCGCGCAGGTAGAACAAGGAATTCGGTGGCCGGGGCGACCACAGCGACTCTCCCTGTGTCCGCTGCAGCAGGGCCCCATCCCAGGCATGACGAGCCTCGAGCATCGGGTTGACTCTGTGATCGTGATCGTGGGGGTAAGGGCTGCTGGGACCCGCGCTGTGCGGACGTGGAAAGTGCCGTCCAGGGTGAGCGAGCCATTTGTCCTCGGTCACGCGAGTCAGCGGCGCCGCTTGGGTCGGGATCCAGGATTCACGCTCCGGAGCTCGCCGTTAGTTATTCCTTCTAACGTTTCTGAGCTGCCTGCGGTTTTCAGGGCGCCTTGCTGCACCTGCTCGTGTTCCTGCTTCAGATCTGGCATCTTGGGTCTGACACTTCCGGACCTGTGACTCACAGGCTGACTCGTGGCCTCCTTCCAGGCTGTGCCTCCCGGTGCAGACAGATGCCGGGGCGCGGCCGCGAACGACGACCGGCACTCGTGTTGGTGACGACACGGGCCCACTGGGCCCTCACACACAGCTGGCGGAGTGCCAGGCTCCCGTTACTCTGGTTAGGGATAAAGTACAGGTCTGCTTGCCTAGGAAGCCCCTTCCTGAGCGTTTCCCAAGACAAACGAAACATGCCCTGTAACGTGCCCGTGCTGCTCACAGCGGGCCGCAACCCCACTGCAGTCCATCCACACTGCACACAGACGCCACTCAGCAGAGATGACAGACGTGGGCAGATAAGCCTCAGAAGCATCCCAGGGATCAGGCCCAGAGGACCACGCACTGGCCGGTGCGAGGCTTTAGATAAGGTGGCAGATCAATGGGCACCTGGGCGAAGCTGGTGGCAGGGGTAGTTTTAAGAAATAGTGCAAGGGCCAGGCGTTATAGCACACACCTTTAATCCCAGCACTCAGGAGGCTGAGGCAGGAGGATCACTGCGAGTCTGAGGCCAGCCTGGGCTACATAAGCTAATTTAAGTTCAGTCGGCACTACACAGTGAGATCCTGTCTCAAAAAAAAAAAAAAAAACAGTATAAGGGAATACATTTCAATTGTAATGGTGGATGCCTAAGTGTATACACCTGTCAGAATTCATCAAAATTTACACTTAAAAATGGATAAATTATGTCACACAATCTGCAACACCGTAAGGCAAAGGTTTGGTATTCAGAGAGAAGCACCTCCCTTCCCTGAATAAGCAGCTATGAAACAAGAACAAGAAATTATGAAACTAAAACAAAAACAGATATGAAGAGTCATTTAAAACTTTTGTTTTTAAACGGAGGGTCTTGCTATGTAGCCTAGGCTGGCTTTGGACTCTCAGTGATTTTCCTGCCTCAGCCTCCTAAATGCTGGAATTATAAGCATGTGCCACCACACCTGAGCATTTATAACTTTTGGAATTAAAAAATGGTCATTGAGGGGCTGGGGATTTAGCTCAGTGGCACAAGTGCCTGCCTGGCAAGTGTGAGGTCGTGAGTTCGATTCCTGGTACCGGAGAAAAAAAAAAGACCAAAAAAAAAAAAAAAAAAGGTCATTGAAATAAAAATGTCATGTAATAACTTTCAATTGGATCCAAATGAAGAATTCGGGAATTCATAAACCTTGAGAAGCCAGGTATGGTGGTGCCTCAGCACTTAGGAGGCTGAGGCAGGAAGGTTACTGAGAGTTCAAGGCCAGCCTGCACCACAGAGCATGACCCACTCTCAAAAAAAAAGTGTCAAGGAAAACAATACGATTGTCTACAAATCAAGCACAGACTTCTCACCCGCAGGCAAAGAGGGTTTAGGAGGCAGGAAGAGCAGACTGACAGGGTCTCCATGGGGAACCAAGGCCATACTCCCAGGCCTGAGCCACCTTGGGCCCCGTCCTTTTCCATCCCGCTAGTCCTGGTGGGGGCCGAGTGGCCTGGCCTGCGACAGGGCTGCGAGGGGTCGGCGGAGAGCAGAGGTAGGAGGAGCAGCAGAGCAGTTACAGCAGCAGTGACTCCGGCCTGCGGGCCTCTCCCCAGGACGGGTTTCATGTTTCTGAGTCAAACCCAGGCTGCAGGCGGCGCTCTGGTGATTGAAGCGAGAGGACACCCCAGAGACAGGCGCGTCCACCTTGTCCCCAGCAGGGCTGGCAGGACACACGATGAGCACCGGGTTGGACACGCTTCCAACGGGGTTCCACGGCCCACCTGCAGCACGGGGTGGGGGGGCGGGGTGCTGCTGGCCCGCCCGTGACAGGCGACTCGTCCTGCAGCTCTGAGGGCGAAGGCGGGACTGGGCAGCCTGAGCACAGGATGCAGGCCTAGCCCCTCAGCCTGGACTGGGGCCACAACAGCCCTGCACCTGGGCACCAAGCCCCGAATGCTAGAAGAGCCTGCTGTTTCCAGGGCTCGGGGCCAGTGTGCCCAGGCCCACGTCCCGGGACCTGGGCCCATTCCGCTGCTGGGCACGCCGTCACTCCCCGCTGGATGACCCGAATCTGGGGTACCAGGCACAGCAGGCACCCGCAATGCTGCAGCTTCCCCTCTCCTGGGAGCCCACGCTTCGAGGTCTCCATCTCCCTCCACCCGGAACCTGGAACCCAAGCTGGAACCTAGCAAAGTGAGGAGCGCAGAGAATGAGGAGGCCGCTGCAGCCGCAAAAAGCCACAGTCCTAAAATCATTCCACTTGTCTCATTTATTTAAGCCTTCGCCGTCCACTGGCTTTGGGAGATTGCAGGCCTGATCAGCCCGCAGTAACTAAGTGTTATTTAACCCGAGAGCTGCCCTCCTGGCTCATGGTGGCTGCCAGTGGCCTTGGTAGCGTAGCTGTCACTTCAACCTCTGACCCAGCGTCCATGTGACATTCTCCCGGGTGCACATCTGTTCTCTGTGTCCAGAGTTATTCTTTTTATAAGGACATCAAGAAGGGAGTGGGGCCACACACCTGACATCCCAGCCCTCGGGGAGGCGGGGTCAGGAGGATCAAAACCTGGGCAATTTAGGGACTTAGCAAAACCTCATCTCAAAATAAAAAAGGCCTGGAGATGTAGGTCAGTGCAGAGGCCTGTGTTCACTTCCCAGTAAGCGCGCGCACACACACACACACACACACACACACACACACACACACACACACCCACCCACTGGGCCTCCTAATCCTTTCATCTTAATGTGATTGTTTAGTATTATTTCCTAATACTGACATTCTTATGTACCAGGTGTTAGCGGTTCAAATTCAACCCGAACATCCCTCCAGTCCCAGGCAAAGGTGGTTGGTCATCCTGATATACCTTCACATCCTGCAATCCCAAAATTCCCACCTGTGCTGCGCTTCCTTTTATTCTTAAATTAAGCATCCTAATCCGTTATCGTCCAAGCCAGTGATTCTCACAACATGGGTGGTGGCGTCGCCACGGCAGCCAAGCTCTGGAACCGAGAAAGGTCCGCTTCTTTTTGCGTTTGTCTTTTTGACACGGTCTCACTATGCACTTCAGGCTGGCCTTGAGCTCACTCTGTAGCTCAGGCTGGTCTCAAACTTAAGATACTCCTGCCTCAGCCTCCCAAGTCCTGGGATTATAGGTGTGCGCCACCACGCCTGGCTATGGCCTGCTTCTTGAGTGCCTCCTTGGCCTTTGGGATCGGGGACTCCAGGGATGAGGTCAGTCCGCTTGCTGACCCCTCCAGGTGACACCAAGGGCCACCAAATCAGGGTCCCGAGGGAGCTGAGGTGGGTGGCAGTGAGCACGAGCTGCAGCTGTCACTTTAGCACTGTAGGCGTGGCTCTGGCAGTGGACACAAAGGGCTAGCCTTCAAAGAGTGGCCAAGGAACAATAGCAAGGCCGCCACGCACCGACGTCAGCGCAGAGGAATGTGACCTTTCCAGCTGCCCCAGCTGCCAGGCAGGCATGGCTCTAGCCTTTTAGGGTAAAGTTCAGGACACGTTCATCTCACGGCTGGGCCACACGGAACTCTCCTTTGACGTCTAATCTGATAATGACGGGGACAGGACTGGCGACTCGGTGTCGGGACACATCTCTGCGGGGACAGGCAGGCCGTGCAAGTTTTGCTACGTAAGAAATAAATCAAGGGGTGCAGCACTGCTTGGGCTTTTCTTGGGAGCAGGAAGAACTGGGTGAAAGTTCTTTGTTGCTGAGGCCACAGTATTTCCAGAATCTGGGCTATTTCTTGTGAAACATGTCTTTAAAAATACACAGCCAGGCTGGGTGTGGTAGGAGATGCCTGTAATACCAGCTGCTCAGCAGGCTGACGCAGGAGCATCGAAAGTTTGAGAGCAGCTTGGGCAACTTAAGGAGATCCTGTTTCCAAGTAACATTTTAAAAAGGCTAGGGATATAGCTGCCTCATACGCATGAGGCCTTGGGTTCAATTTCAAGTACTACAACAACACTTATAATCAAAGCTATGAGAGGCTGAGGCAGGAGGATCCCTTAAACCCAAGAGTTCACGGGCAGCCTAGGTTACAGGAGAAGACCTGGTCTCTTAATATTTCTCAACCAACCAACCAACGAGTGTCCTACGTTTAGCAGACGTGAGACCTTTAACCTCACCTCCTACACAAACCCTACTTCCTGGTGAGAGACCGAGTCTGCCCAGCACACGCTCCCCTGCGCTACACCAGGGCTTGGCTGAGCAAGAGTGAACTGAGCACTGCGGGTCCAGCTGTGACCCGGGACAGCAGAATCAGTGCCTGGGACCTGTGGCGACAGCAGATCTGGTGTCCTGAGACCTCGGGCCCGCCTGGCCTGGGATGGTTTCTCAGGCCTCCGGCCATACTGCCTGCCACCTTTCTAGATGTGGGCCACGAGGGGCATTCGGAGTCAGCTGCCAGAGAACCCCAGAAGCTGCAGGAAGGAGTGGGGTCCCTGGTACCAGGTGACACATCTCAGGATGGCAACCAAGGTCATCAGGCATCCTAGCCACGGAGACCTGGAGTCTGACTAGGGCAGGGAGCATCTAACCTACAGTGTTCAGGCCGCTTCAAGAATCCCCAGTGCAGCTTCATTCTGTGGGTAAAGGAGACGAAAACAGAGTACACAAGCCCAGCTGTGGGGCCGGGCCGGGGTGCTCTGGTGCCAGGCTGCTGCTGTTTACCTGCGTGCCCTGGGCATGGGCACTGGGGAGCGCAGCAGTGAGGGGCTGGTGGGAGGGCTCTTTGCCAGCTGCCTTAAGCTCCCTGAGCGCAGACCCCCGCCTCATGCCCGAAACATGGCCATTCCAAACCGCAAGACCTGGAGGTGGGGACAACAGCAAAACTGGCAACGAAACCGTTTGCTCCACGTAAAACCCCTGCTTGAGGGCTGAAGAGGTTCTGGAGTCCGCAAGGGCTGCTTTGGAGGGCTGCAGCCTGCTGGGCAGCTCAGGGCGCTGCTCTCAGCACGGGTGGCCACGAGGCAGCACAAGGCTCCCACCCCAGAGGTGCCACAGAGGCCAGTGCTCCTCCAGCAGTGTCACGACGGGCAGTGGCTTGGAAAGCCGCAGTGCACCGTGGGTTCCGCTGCTACTGAGGCTGCGGATGTGCCGCTTAGGGCACAGGCACCAGCAGCCCCTGCCTGGTTAGCAGCACCGGACAGCGGACAACAGAGGACTGAAGACCAGAGGACTTCACCAGCGACTGTGTCCGCGGTGGAACCTTCCGCCTGGCAGGCAGGGCCGCAGGAAGCTCCCGCCTGCCCATTGCTGGGCTGGGCGTCGCCAGGAAAGGTGCTTGGGTCCACTGAGGATGCAGTGAGAACACTGTAGGCTGTCAGAAAAACACGTCTCCTGTGGAAATCAGAGGCTTCAACACGCTGGGGGTGGTGGCGCACACCTACAATCCCAGCACGCAGGCTGAGGCAGGAGCGTCACGGTTTGAGGCCAGCCTGGAGCTCACGGGGAGGGTGAACTGGTCCAGGCTCCTTCCTGCAGCGTGACCTCAGCCGTCTTCTGCACAGCCTCACGCCGAACCAGCTGTCCCCTACATCACAGGGCACACAGCACAGCACTACGCACAGGCGAGGCCCAGCATCCACAGGGGTCCTGAGCTGGACGCCACGTCTGGCGTACGTGATGTCACTGAGCAACTGTCCCTCAGGGACGTATGTAGCCCGGGCCTGCGCGTGACATCTCCAGGGCCGAATGCAGGACGTGCGCTCCACAGGGGTGCAGGGTCCTCAGGACAGGTGGGCTCTTCCGCGGCCCTGCAGAAAGCACCACCGGAGGCACCATCGGGAGACTGCACCGGCTTCTAGCGAGCCCCCTGGACGCTGCTGGAGTCCCCCTGCGCAGAAGGAGCAGTTCAGACGGAAAAGGCCGGCCGGGTGAGTGGGACTGACCTGAAGCAGCCCTGTGTATTTGGCACTGAGGTAGCTTTTTAGCTTTAGGATTCAGCCATGTTAATCACGACTCGCTGAAATTAGTTTACTTCAACAGCATTGGCAGAAGTCTTCTAAGGTTGATTTTACTCTGGGATGACAAATAATGCTCAGGACCCGAGAGAATGGCGTGTTCTAAGAAATGGCATGTTTTATGAAAAACTACTTGCAAAACAGAATTATATTTTAAGACAATGGCAGCATTTGCTTAATATCAGAAGCAACCAGCCTGTGAAATTTTAACTAGGGGTACACACGAAATACACGGCTTAAAGGAAACCCCAAGTCTGGGGTACAGAGAGGGTGAGGGCTGTACACAAGTGCCCCACATCCCCGGTGCCCTGTTCCCTGCTAGGCGGCTCCTCACAAGAAAGCACAGTCAAGGCAGGCAAGGCTGACCCCTGACAGAGCACCTGCTGGGAGCGCTCCTCACCCTCAGAACCTCTGAACTACAGGACTCATTCTCGAATGAGGACAGGCAGACAAGCAAATCTACAGTACTTTTTTTTTTTTGAGGCAGTCTTGTTATGTAGCCCAGGCTGGCCTGGAACTCATGGCAATCCTCCTGCCTCAGCCTCCCAAGTGCTGGGATTACAGGTATGTGCCAGTAAGACCAGTAGGCAGATCACTTCGTAAACCCTATCCTGATGTGGACATCAAGCTAAGTGGGAAGAGGGACAAAACACGTCTCGTAGCAGCTCCTTTGCTTCAACTGGCATAACACACACAGGGGAACAGGAGTGCTCCACCACGTAAGGCCCCGGGGCTCTCCCAACACCGGTGTCCTGGTCACTGCCGAAAGGCCAGAAGTCGCTGCTCTCCAAGATCAAGGCCACTCAGCTGAGTCATCCACAATGCACAGGGTGAGCGCCTGGGTGCCTCGGCTTCCCTGAGGCCCAAGGGAAGGCTCCAGAGCAAGAGGCCTTCCTCCTCTCAGTCACCGCAAGCAGCAGGAGGGATCAAGGTTTGCAGCTATTTTATTTACAAGTATACATTTAACACAATGAAATAAACACTGATATATTGAAGCCTAGTTAATAGTAGTGTAACAATATGTATCATTTTCATGATTACATTATTTTAAACCACAAACGACACTGAAAAATTAATGCCTGTAAAATTCTTGGTCATAATATTATTAAGAAATACAATATATAAATTGAAAATATGATTGCTTAAAATTTGAAAATGGAAGTGAACTCATTTGGACAGTCAGAGCTGAACATAATCTGAAAGAGGAGGGGCTCTGACCCAAATGATGCCTCTCAGGTTAACAGAAGAGAAGAAGCAGAGCTGCTCTCCGAGGTCGGCGGTGAGCTTCCCCAGGGAGAACATGTCCCAGTGTCCTCCGCCGCGCTCACATCACCGAGCACGAAGACTTGCCTTGTGAAGCTGCCCCATCGATCTTTTCTGCCTCCAAAATTATCCTTCTGAAAACATCGACGGCAGTCTGAAAGGAGAAGCAGGCACAGGCTTAGTGCTCCAGGGCCGAGCGGCATCGGCTGTCGGCACCGGGAGGAAGTGGCCCTTCTTTATGAAGGTGGGGGTCCCTGTCTCTAGACGCAGTCGCTGAGGGTGGGGAGACGCTGTCCTCCTTGGCAGCCTGACGAGCAGGGCCTGTCCAGTCTCATTTCCAGCACCCCACTTTTCTAGCTCACTTTAATTCCTGGGACCCTAACCCAATAAGCTGACCTCACGACATTCTGTCCACTTCTTGTCCTCCCTGCCCTCCTGGGCTGGGTCAGGCTCCACAGAACCTTGGAGTCACTCTCTCCCCCTTCTCCACACTAAGCACCAGCCCAGTGCTGCCCGAACAGCACAGCCCATGACCGCTTACTGTCCGTCCCCCACGAGCAGGAGCCAGCAGCCCAGCTCTAGCCCCGCGGGGAGTGGGTAAAGCCGGAAATTGAGCACATGTGCACAGTGGGTCTGAAAACGAAGAGTGCCCTAGGCGAGCCACATAAACAAGCTGCTCTCTTCCAAAGAAAATACCTTGTGCCCCCATAATTCAAGAACAGGTTGCTAGGACAAGGCAGGTCACATGGCAGCAACCTGCCCAATGTATAAATAAATGTGCTGGTGGTTGAGCAGTCCCTTCCTCCCATCCAGAGAGGGCTCCACCTGACTCAGCTTTCTGTCTCAAGAGCCACACAGGGCACAGTCCAGAGCAAGGCAGTGCGTGCCTTGTCCCTCTTTCCCCCTGACTCTCGGTGCTCACCCTGGGCTGCTAAGCTCACTTCAGCGCCACTGACACGAGCACTCCACATCCTCTGGCCACAAGCTGTGTCCACACTCCTAGGTCCCGCTGGTGTGAACAAGGAGGCTGTCCTAGCTCTTAACCTCCTGGGCCCATCTCTGTCTAAGCAACGTCACTGCTAGGATCACCTTATCATCAGGAAGCACTGTACAGAGAAAAAGGACGAGGTTTGGTTTTATTTAAATCTAGTCCTACTGGCGTGGTAGTGCACGCCTATAATCCCAGCACTCGGGAGGCTGAGGCAGGAGGACTGCTGCGAGTTTGAGGCCAGCCTGAGCTACAAGGTAAGCTCAAGGCCAGCCTGAACTGCATAGCAAGACCCTGTCTCAGAAAAAAAGGTAAATCTAGTCCTACTTCTTATACCATATAAAATATAGGGTAATTTCAGAGGTATTATTTAACTTCTTTGGATCTTAATACTCTCACTTGTAATTTCAGCGTTCTAGGAGCCTAGGGGAGGAGGATCACAAATTTGAGCCCAGGCTGGGAAAGTGACTTAGTGAGATCCTATCTTTATTTAAAAAAAAAAAAATGAAATATTTCAACTAGATAATCTTAAGGACTGAGAGTCACTTGATCAAAATTTAATTTAGTTCAATTAAAATGCAAGCATAATACTAATCTCAACTTTATTTTTGGTACTGGGAATTGAACTCAGGACCTTTTTGTGCTTGCCAGGCAGGCGCTGTGCTGCTGAGCTGTATCTACAGGCCTTCATCTCAACCCTTATCTGAATTCTCACCATCTACAGTCTGGAACTGAACAGATCCAGAGAAGGTCTTGCTACCTGGGACCTGGGAACCAGTGACACAGAATTAACACCCTCGCTATCTGCACACCCAGGGAACAGATCGTAACCATGGACAGGGAGACCCTGCACTCAGTCCTGGGAGGAAGGGAAGGGGGTTCCAAGTCCAAGGCCGGCCTGGGAAGCCTCACAAGGCCCTGTCTCACATGTTAGAAGGGCTGCGGATGCAGCTCGGTGGCAGAGGGCTGGCTGGTACGTAAGAGGCCCTGGATCCTACCCTCCCAAAACACAAGGGACAGAAAAGCTTTGGGCGACAGAGGTGCGCTAAGACAGAGATCAAATGCTGAGTTGGGAGAATGCTGCACAAAAACGCATTTAGAAACTACATACCTGGTTTTCTTTAGCAGAAGATTCCAAAAAAGCTGCATTCCAAGATTCTGCCAAAGCTTTCCCTTCTTCATAACTGATCACCCTGCAGGAACAAGAACATTCTAATTTTTGTTCCTTATTACGTGGAGCATGCATAATTGATGAAGCAGGCTCCACTCTGATCACTCTAGAGGCCGTGTCTCACCATCAGGAGTCACACAGGAGCATTAATCACACCGGCAGAGGGGGACAAGACAGGCGCTGCCGAGTCACCCGCAGTCTCAGAGCTCGAGGGGTGGGGAAACGGCCGTGTGCTCCAGTGCTGCCCCTCACAGCCAGGATGTAAGCAGCAAGGGCCAGGCCCCGGTGCCGGGCTCCACCACACGCGCTGTGCACGCCTGCTCTCTGCCCGTGCTTGCAGCCGCCCAGCCCCACTCGTGTGACCCTAGCCTTGAGACGCAAAGGCACCTGGTGAAAACAAACACTGCTGCCTTTGTCACAGCAGAGCCCGAAGAGAATTCCCATCAGTGTCTGGTGTCCTCTTCAGAGAAACATATTTACACTGCAGTGACCATGCAGAACACTGCAGTCAGATATATACACATTTGGTAGTGATGGTGGTGTTACCAGGAATCAACCTCAGGACCCTGTGCTTGCCAGGCAGGCACTTGTGCTGCTAAGCTATATCCCAGGCTCTAGCCAGATATATTCTTGGTGTCAGAATAACTTAAAATGCTCCATCAGTGACTAAATCAGCTTAGACTTCATTTTATAAATCAGTAATTTACACTGTACGTACCTTTCCATATGCAGGTCTTTCTTATTCCCAACCAACATAATAGGTATCCTATTTGTAAGGAAAGAAATGAACCAGTTAGCGCCAGACCGTGCCACCTGGAAGACTGCAAAATGAAGAAGGCCAAGTAGCACACTACTTACTGCACTTTCCCCACCATATCCAACAGTTTGCCGTGGATAACTTTAATCACTTCAAAACTGTAAGACAAAACATATGAAATGTAGACATCCATTTCAGCACAGGCATTTTCCGATGGACGTCAGACCGTGGAGAGAACGCGCGTGTCACACACTCATCCTCTAACACAAACTGCACCCGCGATTTCCTTTCCTTTTCCTACCCACCCTTTCCCCCGCAGGCACCCAATAATCCTTCCCGATGACAGCTGCAGTCCAACGGGTGCAAGCAACACTTCAAGAAGAAAGTCTAAGGCGGAGCTGACAAGTCACACAGACAAAACTCAGTCTCCTACCTCACCCAACAAAGAGCCAGCAGCGTAAAGGACTGCGCCAGCGCACCTCAGCACCACTTGTCCCCGCCCAGGTGCACACCCAGTACCCGCACAGCTCCGGCAGGACTGTTTACACCACTGCCCCACCCACTCAGAAAGCCCGGGCAAACACTGCAGCCTGTGTGCCCCAGCACGGTGCAGAACTGGCTCCCCTCCGTCGGCACAGCCCAGACCCACACAGGTCCGAAGAGGCCAAAGGCAGCCGTCCCCCCAGGATCCTCTGCAACAGCCTCTGGCAGACACCGGCTCAACTCAGCCCATGGACTCCCACGCGCTGGCCACTGCTCCCTCACAGCCTCGTCCTCCAGCTCCCGGAAGGGTGCCACTGCTGCTTTCCGAACTCCCTCCGCCAGCCTTTCTCCGACATCCCTTTCCTGCACGCTTTACCCCGGGGCCCCACCACCGACAGCCCACGCAGGCAGCGCTTTGCTTCCTTCCCGGTATGTGTCAGGCTTTGGAGTCTGCTGAAGCCATGCATTACATTCTAGGTTTTTTTTAGGGGTGAGCCCAGGGCCCACTGAGCTACATCCCTAGCCCTTATGCTACTTTAAAACTCTGCACACTGTTATTTATTTATCCAACTGGGAACTGAGTTCTACGTTTTTGCGCTACATTGTGCTACATTGCCCAGGCTGGCCTCAAATTTGTAATCCTCCTGCCTCAGCCTCCTTAGTAGATTGGACGGGTTACAGAATAGCTGGAATTACAGGTGTGTGCTACTGTGGCCAGATGCACATTGTTACTTTGATAAAAATGCTTGTGAGTAAAAAAATCTCTAGTAAAAAAAAAAAAAAAAAAAAAAAAGGATATGGAAATAGTAAGTACTGCAGACTGTGTGACAAAAAAACAGAACTTCCCTAATATAGCCACGGGGTATTCTGGAGTGGACTGAGTGGGGAAAGTAAGCCCAGAACGCCAAGGTCCATCCCACAAAGGGCTACAGGTTCATTTCCGCTTCACAAGGAATGCTGAGGAGGCCTGAGCGGGAATGAGACCCTCTCAGCTGAACCCCACTGCGGGACTGGCTACAGCCACACAGGCTCAATGACTGAAACCGGCAGCTTCTGAATCGCTGGCCAGCACCCAGTAACAGGAAGTGATCAATTCACAAACCAAAACCAAAGTGTGGCTAGAGGAACCAAAGCCTGTTTTCACTAATAAAAACAGTGGCCTAATTTTCATGTAGGCAGATGAGACCCTATTATGCAAAGGTCTTATTTCATAAATTCAAAGGGTGAAGTATTCAACATACTGTCCTGCTCAAGTTGTCTTACAAAGTCTACTCCACAGAGACTCTCCCCACAGTTGGGTAAAACACACAAAATGTAAAAATTCATGTATTTCTCACTTAAATCATCAGAAAATTCCACATCACGTGCAATCACTACTAAGCAGCCTCAAGTAAGAACACAGATTTTACTCCACCCTGTTACAAAGCACCTACTGCAGTTAGTTTCCTCAACAGCCTGTTTGCTCCACAAGAAGCCACTAAAAACCACTCAGTCTAACAATCAAGTCTGTCACTACTAATCCCATCACATGCCTGTAGAAGGGTTCACGCCATCGTGCATGGCAAACAAGGTCAGGCTGGCACCCGGCATCTTACCTTTTGATTGATGTAACAGAATACACAAGAATATAGCCATTAATATCTATGGAGTATGTCTGAGGAAAAATGGAATATTCATCCTGTGGAAGGAAAAATAATTATAAGTGAATGAAACTTTCACTGAACACGACAATGTGTACCTAGTTTTTCACAAAAATCAAAGAAATTCAAGTAAACAAGGAACACAGTACCACCCCAGAAATGTAGACTGCACCCTGAAGATGGAAGAATGCCGTGTGGGTGATAACGCGCTTCTCGAAGATTTTCTAAGATGACCCCGGTTATTCTAGGACTCACACGCTGCTGGTGTCATTGGCTTCTTGAGAGAAGGGGGTGGAAGGAATGGGCAATGGCCCAAGTCTCCTATCAGGGCTCGCTACATTTACTCTACAGATGAAAAGTTCAGAATCTCTAAGGCCCTTGGGAAACAACACATCCTTCACGTCCCATTTGTATTCCAGTCACAGAGGTTTGGGCATTAAGTCTAAGGGTTGCCTCAAGGCTGTGTCATGAGCATTTGAGAGGGCAGATCAGGGGCTGGGGATTTAGCTCAGTGGCACAGTGCCTGTCTGACAAGCGCGAGGTCGTGAGTTCGATTCCTGGTACCAGGAAAAAAAAAAAAAAGGGCAGATCAAACCACCAAGACCTATCAGTGTATGCACACTTTCAGGGAAAAAGTTACTACTGAGCTGCTTCAGGAGCGACCCAGTGTACTATGCCTAATCTTACAAAGCAGCCTCTCAGAACCTGGCTTTCGATACAAAATTATGCTTTTTTTTTTTTTTGGTGCCAGAAATCAAACTCAGGGGATCTTGCACTTGCCAGGCAGGCACTGTACCCGAGGCCCCAGCCCCTGGACACAGAATTATGAAAATGTACAGAATATTCAGATGTTGATGCAGTTTTCAATGACACGTGCAACTGCCTGTGCAGGCCTCATCCTCGGTTGAGATTCAACTGTCACTAAAGCAATAGTCCCAAGCACACCATAGGACAGTCACGTCACACCACCACCACGGAAGCAGCAGCTCGAACTCTGCCAGCCCGCAGCATGGTCACAGCTCTTCATAACCGGGGATTTCTGCCCCATGGGGAAGTTCTTTTAAAAACAAGTCAGCCAGGGATATAGCTCAGCAGTATAGCACCTGCCTGGCAAGTGCTAGGTCCTGAGTTCCATTCCTGATACCAAAAAAACCAAATCAAAGAAATATGAAGTTTGGGCTGGACGCTCTAGAAGGACCCAGAGAGGTATGTGAATTAGCTTTGGGAGTCCCAGCACTCTGCGAAGCTGAGGCAGGAGGACCACAAGCTTGAACCCAGCCCAGGCAATTTAGCAACTTAGGGAGATCCTGTCTCAAAATTAAAAAATAAGAAAGGCTGGGGATATAGTTCAATGTGAAGGCCCTGGGTTCCATTTTCAGCCCTGGGACATGAGGGTGTGGGGGTAGAGATATGAAAACTTTGGGGACGTGGGAGAATTTTTTAAAACTGATTAAATGAAAAACCGGTTAAATTTTCCCACTGTGGGAAAATTAAAATGTTGTGACTATAAACCTCTCAAACAAAAATCTTAAACAGGCCAGGGATATAGCTCAGTGGCACAGCATCTGCCTGGCAAGCACAAGGTCCTGAGTTCGATTCCCGGCACACATATACACACACAAAAAAGCACCTCAGATCTTATACAAAATGCTAACTTCCTGCACATGCTGAGTGTCAAGGCGGCACTCACAGACCTCTGAAGCCATGGGCAGAGCTCACAGATAGGTCACTCAGACACAGCAAGACCACAGCCGGCACAACAGGGAAAACGACGACAAGGCGGGGGGTGCTCACTGCAGACTGCCAGGGGGGTTGCCCACCAGTCATGAACCTGCCGCAGACCCAAGCCGGGCACACGCAGCCACGGGGGTAGGGGCTAGGGAACGATTTCTAAGACGGAGCTGTGTTCCCTCTGTGCAAGAAAGAGGAAGTGACAACGCTGTACTTCAGATGTGCAGAACACGAGAAGCTTAAAAGGCTCTGGGCAAGGAGGAGGTATGCCGAGGCAGTGGGGACGGGAGGGAAGGGCTGGGAAGAACGACGCTGCGTCACGCACACGGACAAGCCAGGAGGACCGTGGCCACCGTGGGCTGCAAACATGGACTAACAGCAACAAAAACTGAACAAAAGCAGGCAGCTCGGAGGGCTGGAAGCAGTGGCGTGTGCCTATAATCCCAGCTAATTGGGAGACTGAGGCAGGGTGATTTCAAATTCAAGGCAGGTCTAGGAAATTCATCAAGATTCCATTTTAAAATAAACCCAGGCAGGAGGCCAGCCTGAACTACACAGGGAGACCTGGTCTCAAAAAAAACCCCAGAACACCCAATAACTGAAACACAAAAACTAAAACACCCCAACGCTCCCTCACAACGTATTGTCTGGGTCAGTGGTGGACAAGATTCCCACAGGGCGATCCGTGCGCGAGGGTCGCAGCGGCTTCCCCCCGCGGTGCGCACTACCACGCGCCGCAGGAAGCACCAACACCAGGCGCACGCGGCATGCAGGTCTGGGTCACGGCAGTGCCCGCTACTGCTTCTGCACTTCCTGCACTGTACTTCCTGTTGTTTTAAAGCATATATCCATTTACTTAAAGAAGTGGGGAGCTGGAATAAAGTGATACGGCGCATACTTGCCTGGCTTACCTAAGCCTTGGGTTTAATCCCCAGTGCTGCAAAAATAAATAGTAATAGTGAGCTGTGGCAGTGCCTGCCTGTAATCTCAGCACTCTGGGAGGCTGAGGCAGGAGGATCACAAATTTGAGCCCTGTCTGGGCAACTTAAGTGAGTTATTTATTTTAATCCACAATGGCAAGTTTGTTTTTCTTTTTTTTGAGACAGGGTTTCATTATGCAGTCCAGGCTGGATTTGAACTCAAGTAATCCTCCTGCCTCAGTCTTCAGAGTGCCAGGATTATAGGGGTGCACCACCATGCCAAACCTAATTTAAATGATTTAGTGATCCTTTCTCAAAAAAAAAAAAAAAGAAAAGAAATAAAAGTAAAGAAAGGAAAAGAAAAAGACCAGGTACGCAGCTCAGTGTGAAGGCCTTGAGTTCAATCCGCATTACACAGCAGCAGCCTCACGCATCTTGTCGTGTTGTTTTTCCCTTGTGCCTGAGTCACAGCTCTAGCAGCAGTAAACTCATACACGTATAAACATACACACTGAGCAGCCCAGTGGAAGTCCACCCCGATGTCTCCACAGCGGGAAAACTCGCTCATGTCACATTTCTAAGAATGTGTCCCCCTGAAGTGAGCAGTAGCTACATGTGTACTGATATATACTAGATAAACAGTGCTTGCTACTATGTATAGCTTGCTATGCAGCAACTTACTGTGAGCAAGTTTACTCCTTAATTGTGTAAATTAGTGGCCAGGCATGGTGGCGCATGCCTGTAAATCCCAGCACTTGGAAGGCTGAGGCAGGAGGATCACTATGAGGCCAGCCTGGGCTATAAAGTGAGTTCAAGGCCAGCCTGAACTGCATAGCGACACCCTATCTTAAAAAGATGAAAACAAACAAACAAAAAAACCCCAGTGTAAATTAGTTAACAGATTGTGGATTTTTTTTTTTTTTAAACAGGCCCTTGCTATGTTGCTCAAGATGGTCTGGAACTCCTGGACTCCCTTTTGAAAAGCGTGGACTGTAACTGGCTATAGGATCACTTTAAAAGGATTTCTCCATCTCTCCCTGCGTCCCCCTTCCTAACCCACAACTAGCCTGTGTGAGTCCAATTGCAGGGGAATGTGAATGGTTTCACCATTGTGAATCATGAGCACAACCATATCCTTTTTTCTCATCATGTACCTTTAAGAACTACTTGCTAGGGGGCTGGGGATGTAGCTCAGCAGCAGAGTGCCTGTCTGGCAAGCCAAGGTCCTGAGTTCAATTCCCACTACCATAAAAAGAAACAAACAACTACTGCTTACAATGACAAATTATTCAAAGAAGCCAAATGAGAAGAGTAGGCTGGTCTTAAACTCACTATGTAGCTCACACCAGCCTTGAACTTGCTGCGAATCTCCTGCCTCAGCCTCCCCAGTGCTGGCCACGCCTGTCTGTTGTGAATACTGTTACCCAAAGAAGCAACTGAGCTGCAAACCCAGCCACCGCTCTTGTCGCATCACACATCGTACTCATTCCCTACGAAGGGACCCCTTCTGTCCTGCTATCTGTATTACCCTAACACACACAAACTGTTTGCTGTCCCACTGTCCACTCATGGCATAGACTAGTGATGGCGAGCAAGTGCCCAAACTGCACCCCCAACCCACTTATTTATCATAAAGTGACAACACTGCCATTAAACCTGAACACTGAGGTTTTACGCTAGAAAGTAAAAACAAGCAAGCAAGCAAGCAAGCAAACCCAACTCATATACTGAACATTTGTCTTTTTCTTTTGTCTTTCCGAGACAGGGTCTCGTTATGCAGTTCAGGCTGGCCTTCAGCTCACTTTGTATAGCCCAGGCTGCATTTGAACTTACAATGATCCTCCTGCCTCAGCCTCCCAAGTGCTAGGATTACAGGTGTGCACCACATCTGGCTATTAACATCTGTCTTAAAAGAACAGTACCACATGTGCCACAGGTTCACCACCACTGCTTCAGAGCAAGCAGCACCTTCTTTGCTGATAAAGCCAACACAAAGATGTCCCTCTGGAGCTCCTCCCTGCTGCCCACGTCACTGCGCTAACACCTGTGCCTGCCAAGCTCAAGGCACTAGGGCCCACGGCTGTGTGTGGTCAGCCAGGTGGGTGCTGCCCTCCCCGCCCGTTCAAAAGGCAGCTCAGGTGCAACAAGGGCTCCTCTCTGCTCACACGATGGGACGCAGCCCGTGCCTGGCAGCTGGGCCGCACTGCCCCACACAGGCAAGTTTCTAACGAGTTTCCAGTGTTGCACGGAAGTGATTCCCCAATCTAAAGCTGCACCCTCACTTTTCAGGAGCTTCAGGAAGATTCCAAACAGAGAATCCTGCTGCCGGCAAGGTCCCACTGCTGGCACAAAGGGGGCCCTTCTCTTCCAGGTCATGCTACGGTACACCTGCTGTCCCAGCACAACCATTACTTGAAGCCTCCAGGGGCTAAGTGTGTCTTGGTTCAGGCAAAAACTCGCCTTCACTGTAAAGACAGACACAAACCCAAACCACCTCACCCGGAGGCTCCTCTCCGCCAGCCCTAGAATAGCTGTGTCCCTCTGGCATGGAGGCTGCTACTTGTTCTGATGAGCCCTGACCCACCCTCTGTCAGGGGCTAGGTCCCCAGGATGGCTCTGCTCACAGATGGCGGCTGGCATATGCAGCTGCGAGGCACATCGACCCCGGGCACGATGCACCAGGTGGGAGGGCAGGCACGTGCAGGGCGCGCATGCTCTCAGACTACATGTTTGGTTTCTTTCCCTCCCAGCTTCTGGACTGGGAACCGCTGGTTTCTCCCACGCTAACACAACTCAGTGTAGCTATTTCTTGCTCACAAAGGGGCCACGGTCTCATTCTCCGTTCACTTCCAAACAAAGAGAGGGAATTCATTCCCAACCCGCAGGACGCGTCACACTGCTCTACAGGGCTACTTCAGCTTGCCCAGACCCCAGAAAAAGACTCCTTTCAACGCGGCTGGCCAGATGAAAGCACCCACCTCCCATGTGCCTGGCCCTTTGTGGGTATAAGCCGGAGAGAGGAGGAGTGAGGAACCAGACACCATCCTCTGCCCCGCCCCGCCCTCCGGTGAACAGGGACGATTCAGTCTAACAGAATGGCTTCTAGCAAAGTGGGAGCGGCTACCATGGAAACGAGGCAGCTAAGCTGTCAAAGGGCTTTTTCATTCCCAGCGATACGTTTCTTTCCCCCTGGCTTCCAGTCAGTTGCCGTGGTGAAGCATTCCACACACCACCATCACACGGATTAACCTGTAAGTACCCTTTTCAGGGCCAGTCATTTAACTTTCGGCAATTACCCACTGCCAGCAAATCAAATTGAAACCCATGTTTCAAGGCCCAAGTCCTCCTAAGATGAGCTGCCTGTTTCTGCACTGTTCTCATGCTGGCCCTCTGAGATTTATCTTTGCTTTTAAAGAAGGAGCATACACATTACTAAAGAAAAAACACTAGTATTATTTTCTAATACAGAAATGCTACTCAGAAAACAGAAAACCACTACTCTAGTGTCAACTAAGAAAACTTCAAACTACCCTAAAGTGGGAAAAAAAAATTTCCCTGGAAAGCAGCCATTCACACCCTCAGGACAAAGCTGAGGCGCGTCCCAAGGTCACTTACCTGCCCAGCTGTGTCTACAAGCTGAAGATGATATTCTTGTCCATTTACTGTGATCAGTTTTGTGAAAGCTAGAGGGGCAAAGGGGATTAAATATTAGTTTAAAGACAGTAACTCTAGATCACTTCAAGTTTGAACGATGACAAGGCATCGAGCACAGAGTCCCTACCAATCCCACAAAAAGTTCCCAGGAAACAAAAGAGATCGATCCTCTTGAGTTGTACGGATTCTTCCCTACTTCCATTATCTAACTAAGCACCACTGCGGTCTGACTGGGTAAATCCTGACTCTTCCAGACAAACTAATTAGGCAGCAATTCACATCCAATACACATACTCTGTGCTCTGTGCAGAGTCCCTTCCATTTGTGAGGAAGTGAAATGTACAAGAGGCGTGAGGCCTAGAGTGAACCCAAGCCCCAGAAGTCTTCCATTAATTCACAGAGAGCTGGTGTCCAGTACAAGGAGCTAAGCTTAATCCAAATGTTTCCAACTTCCAGTACATAAAAAATGAACGATTTTACTGGTAGATAAAGCAGCAATGGAACAGATGTTTTGAACTGAGGCTACCATCCCCACTTAGCTTAAGGATCCAATTTATCACAATTTCTTTTTCCTACCAAGGCGGGGGAAGAAATCAGATACCAAAGGAGATAACTCAGAATTCTAAGGAATCAGGCTTCAACACATGCAGGCAGGAGGAAAGAACTATTAACAGTAACAGAATATTAAAAAAAAAACCATCTGGGACCCTGTGCGTAAGTGGAACAGATTTCCCTGTGTGCCCAGCCCCAGCCAACTCCTGCCCAGCCGTCTAGCACCATGAGAGCCAAGCGGGAGGATTAGTGCCTCAGACAGCCGAGAGAGGTCACACTTTGTCACACGCCAAAAGGCAAAGCAAGAGTCAGATGGAAACTGGTCAAGAATGCTCTCCGTGACAAGGAAGACAGGAGAGCCCTGCTGGGCCACAGGGGCTCCACAGGGAAGGCAGCAACAGAGCTGTACAAGCACCGCCACTTCCAGTGCAAGCAGGGCCAGAGTGAGGTGCATGGAGGTCGCAGGCCGTCCCCAACACACTGTGCATCACTGTGAACCCTTCTGGAAATGACTGCTTTAAGAAAAGAAGTAAACCAGCAGGAAGTTCAATCAAGTTGGTCCAAGCCTGCAATTCCAGCTGCTCTGGACGCTGAGGCAGGAGCACTGCGAGTTTGAGACCAGCCCGGGTAACTCAGTGAGACCTTGTTCCTCCCAAAACACAAAGGGCTGAGGATGCAGGTGAGTGGTAGCGCAGAAACACCAGCACCCTGGGTGAGACTACCTCAGGATGGGGATTCCCACTGGGACCTGTGCTGCTGATTTAAGAAAGCAACCTAAGAGACCTTCACATCGCCCTGACTGGGAGAGCTGTGTGTGGAAACTTCCACTCACTATCAGCCAGGGGACGGTCGCGATGCGGCTGTGAGAAACCCTTTCCAAGGGTAGGAGCAACAAGTGCACTGCGGGGCTGGGATACAGCTCAGTGCACAAGCACTTGCCTGGCAAGCACAAGGTCATGAGTTCAATTCCCAGTACCAAAAAAAAGCATTGAAAATTATGTAAGAAACGCTGGTGGAAGCAGTGGGTTTCAATCAAAACTAAATACTGGTGGTTATGAGGTACAATGTAATCACTCTGAAAAGATTAATGGAACTAACATCATGTATTTATTCAACAACTATTTCCCAAATGCCACCGCTGTTACCTACCACCAGCAGCCCTGCTCTATGTGTCCAGGATGCTGTTGGGTCTGACTGGAAGCTGATGGAAGGCAGACACACACACATGCACCCAGCTGCCACAGCTGGTGCTGTCTGGCAAAAGGCCACCATGCAGAGGTTCCATAGAAGTGAACACAGCATGCAAATCAAGGCAGTGGGAGCTGAGAGAACAGGCAGCTGACCCACAGGGGAGCTGGACTCTGGGTGTGTACTCTCAGTGAGGTAACATACCCAGGATTTTGAGCAGGTAGGAATGCACTGTGACTCATACCTTTGCAAGACCCCTCCAGAGACTCCGGATAACAGGCAGAAAGGACAAGGTCAGAGGTAGGAGCCCCAGCACAGTCACCAATGCCATCATGACACAGACTAGACCACTGGCTGCCAACCTACAGCATGCATGCTGCGAGGGGCTGTTCGTCACTGAGCTGCAGGAGGTCCATCTCATCACCATGCAAAGAAGAGGATGGAGGCCTGCAGCAGGGGCAGAGACTCTGGAGGTGTGTGGAGGCAGAGCCGCAAGGACTGTCCGACCAGTGAGAAATGAAGCATCAGAGAATGGAGTCAAGATGACATCCAAGTTTTCAGCACAAGCAACACAGCTACCATTACAACGCACGGAAGCAGCGGGAGAACACTAGGGCTGCAAAAGGAAGAGAACTAAATCGGGTTTCTGAGGCTGTGAGGCCCGTTAGGAACCAAAGTGGGATCGAAGGCAGTGAAATACAAAAGCCCAGAGTTCAGCAGAGAACTTGGGGCTGGGGTACACACACAGTCCACAGCAAACTGCAGGAAGGAGGAGATCGCTGGACAGCAGGAAAAGCCCCGAGAGGGCAGGTGATACGATGTGCATAACAAAAGAAAATAGGAACGAACAGTGAAGAGGGTCCTTGCACATAAAAAGATGTACAGTTCCCACACAGAGAATCAAACTCAAACTGAAGACCTTCCATAGGTCACGGGAACTGCCGTATTCCAGTGGTGCAGGTGACAAGAATGTCCTCCGAGGACAGCCCAGAAGCACCTTCTACATAGCCCGGTAAAGCTACCCCTGTGCGGAGATGGAAACATCACTTTCCCTGAGGCTCTCATGCCTCCTTTCTCAATCAGCAGCGAGACGGGTCCCTGTCCGGAAGGAGTCTAACAGCCGTCAGCAGTAAAGGCCGAAAGCTTGCTGATAAGCCTTCTAGAATTCGGTGTTCACAAAGTGGCGTTTGTTACTAACGAATGCTGAGGACTCTTCATTTACATCCTACCGGGAAGTCCACTAGCAGGCAAGCTCGGTAAGGAGGCACTCCTACTGGAACCGCCCGCTTTGCTCTGAGGAGCCTTATCACTTACCAGTAGAGGTACTGAGGGGCGGGGCCGAGGCTGTACACCGCCACTCCTGCTTCAAAGTCACAAGCCTCTACTAATTCAATTGTGTCTACCAACTTCATCTATATGAGCCCTTAGATTAACCAACAATGGGTAACAAAACATCTAAATAAGCATTACTCTGGTCTACAACTGTCCCCACATTAGATAATATCAGGCTTTATTAATGTTATTTTCCTATATCCCTAATTAAAGAAGACAGAGTGCCAGAATTGTTGCTTGTAGAGTGACATTCTAGGAAAATGTGTTGCCACTGACTTTGCTATTAACAGCCCTTTCTATACTACGAAGGCAGGAACAGAATTACTACTGGATTATTCCTAAATCTACAGAGTATTAATTTAAAACATCATAAAACCATCCATATCCATATTTATGTTACTAGCAACAAATTCACAGTAAATTTTCCCCCATTTTTAACTTAATGTTATTGCTGAACGATGTCTTTCTACCAGAGTGGGTATAGGAATGGAACAAAAGCTTCTGCCCTATGCTGACCCTATCAGAAGTCTGATAAATAGAAGCTGCTATCTAATGAACATGCCTCCTGAACTTCCAAGGGGTACCTGTAATGTGATAGCCATTTCTGCTCTTGCCTAAAGACTTTAATACACAAATGCTCTGAAATCATCTGCGAGATGAAGTCTCCAGGACTGAACACGAAAACAGAAAAAAATGTAAAACACGAAGAGCTAGGTGGTGCACACCTATAATCGCAGCACTCTGGGAGGCTGAAGTAGGAGGACCACAAATTGAAACCCAGACTGGGCAATTCAGTGAATTAGCGAGTCTCTAGCCCAAAATACAAAGTTTAAAAAGAAAGGGCTGGGGGTGTAGCTCAGTGCAGAGACCCAAGCTTCAATCCTTGTACCACAATAAATAACAAAGCCCCACACACGATCAAAGATGATATTCCCAGCCATAAGAAGCCAGGCAAGTAGGGCATACTGGCGCATGCCTATGACCAGTGGTGGTGAATCTACAGCACGGGTGCTGCAGTGGGCTGCTTGTCATCAATGAAAGCTCTAAAGCTTTGCCATCACTGGTAGTCCTAGCTATGCAGGAGGCTCCCTTGAGCCTAAGAGTTCAAGATCAGCCTGGGCAAGGAAGAGAACAAAAAAAGAAAACTAAAACTGTGTTCTCTACTCCTAAAACAGATTCTAGATATGAATGTTCCAGTACAGGACCAATTTGCTATCGACTTGAGTAGAAATTTCTAGATGGCAGCGAATCTGGATACTAAATGAAATATCACTGTGCAAAGTGCTACCCACTGTAAGCTTTTTTTGCTCTTAGTTGGAGAAATACAGATTTAACCAAGGATCTCCTGTAACAAAGCCCCCAGAAATACACAGAGTACACAGTTTTTGTGTGAGAGGAGCCGTCCGAGTTAAGTGCTTGGAAACAATACTCACTGTTTTCGATCGTTGGGTCATAGGAATCAACAAACTGGCCTTCAACAAACTGAATCGTCAATGAGGATTTCCCTGTGAAGAAGAACAGCAGTTCAGTATGCATTAGCCTATGAAGCCATTACTTCTGGTTTGCAGAAAGCTGCTCCAACAGATGAAGAAGGTACCTGGCTCAGAAAACATTATCATTTCATTTCAGCAACTTTAAGAAGCAAAATACATTTTTTTTTGCAAAATAAATTCTGTTAATTTGTCCTAGTTGAGAATACTTTTAAGCAATTAAGCTATTATGAATTAACTACTTCTGTGACATTAACAAATATTACTGACCACAAGTATAAGATTCTGTAAAGGCTAACAGTCCTGTGTGCTCTTTCATCAGTTTTAAGGAGTAATCTGTAAATATGTAACACAAAATCATTGTTTTTCTTATAGTGCTGGGGATCTAACCCAGAGCCTCACATAAACTCTATCTCAAGAGCTATATCCCAGAGCAACGCAAGTATTTTATCTAAAAACTACAGTACCTAGATAATGAAGAAATATTTCGGATTTCACAAAATCACCAGTTAACAACCAAGCCTGTAAGCTAACACATCAAGAACTAGAACCGTAACACCGGATGTGATAGCTGGTACACGCCTGTAATCCCAGCATTTGGAAGGTTGAGGCAGGAGGATCTCAGTGAGTTCAAGACCAGCCTGAACTGCATAGCAAGACTCTATCTTTAAAAAAAAAAGGGGGGGGGCGTGCTGGGGATTTAGCTCAGCGGCACAGTGCCTGCCTAGCAAGCATGAGGTCGTGAGTTCGATTCCCGGTACCGGAAAAAAAAACCAAAACCAAAAACAACGATAAAAAAAAAAAAGAAAGAAAGAAAGAAAAAAGACTGGGGATATAGCTCAGTGGCATAAGCACCTGCCTGGCAGGTGCAAGGTTCTGAGTTTGATTTTTGGCACCAAAAAGAATAAAATACTATTAAATGCACCGGGCATGGTGGCACACGCCTGTAATCCCAGCACCTGGAAGGCTGAGGCAGGAGGAGCATTGTGAGTTCGAGACCAGCCTGGGCTATAAAGTGAGCTCAAGGCCAGCCTGAACTGCATAGAGAGACCCTGTCTCAAGAAGACAAAAACCAAACCAAAACAAAACAAAACAAAACACAAAGAACTAGAACCTTAACTTCTCACTCCTCTAAGTCTCCTAAAATTTCTATTGGAAGATTTTACAACAAGGTGCATGCCCTGTGAAGAAAAGGGACGAGGACAAGGCCCAGGGAACTTTACTCCCAGAAAAGAGGAAGGGGTCCTTCCCTTAGGCACCTCTGAACTCCTCTCTCACCTGGGACAGTGCCAAACACTAGCCTCACACACACCCTGGCTGCCTCACACACACCCGGCCCTCGTCACCAAAGGTCCTGAAACACCAACTCTACACTACTGGGACCCTACTGTGCCTCCCCTTCTCCAACCACAGAGAGGTGCAGCTCAAGGCTGCACAATGCCTGCATGCCACGACACCCTCACACACGAAGACAATTCATGAAAATGCTGCACTGAAAGCAGAATCTCCTGGGAGACAGCTAGGAATTCCACAAGTGGGCAAACCCATCTCCTCAGCAGAGCTCAATGCTCAGTGAAAATCAGACAGAATTCCCCATTCTGGACAACAGGACAACGCCCCTCCCCACACCTATTGCCACACCTTACACAGCCTTAGGCTCCACAGGACCCTTCTGCTCTGCCAAGTCCCTGCTGTCTTGGCCTCCCCCAGGCCTCTGAGTGTATGACTCACTTCTCTCATTCCGGTCTGGGCCCAAATGACAGCTCCTAAGGTGCACCTGCTCTCTAACAGTCACTCTCCTGTAGTTACCCCATTTCATTTTCTATTATTATTTTTTTTAAAGACAGGGTCTCATTAGGTAGTATAGGCTGGCCTTGAACTCACTATGTAACCCAGGCTGGCCTGGAACTCCCGGTGATCCTCCTGCTTCAGCCTCCCAAGTGGGATTACAGGCATGTGCCACCATGCCCAGCCCTCTTCTTACTTTAAATTATCTGAAATTGCCAGGAGTGGTGGCACACATCTGTAATCCCAGTACCTGGGATTGAGGCAGAAGGATCATTAGGAATTCAAGGCCAGCCTGAACTGTATAGCAAGACCCTGTCTCCAAAACACCAAAAAAAAAAAAAAAAAAAAAAAAGACCCTGAAATTATTTCCATTACTAGTCCATGGAGACCAGCACAGTGCCTGACAGCACAGACACCTGCTTCTGAGCAAATGAATGAAATTAAAGATCAGAGGTACAGGTTTTACTGTCTTGCACTCAGACACTAGAAAAGATCTCTACACACAGTGCAACTACAACTCAACAGAAATTTACAAATAACTCAATTATTACGTAACAGTACCCAACCATGGGCCTGCCTATGATATAGGATTCAACAGTGTTTCAGGAACTCTACAATTTTAACTGGATTGTTCTCAAAAGAAACCACGGCCTATACACTCATCCATAAAGGAAAATCTAACTCAAAATATAGCAAAGCTATTTTATATAATGAAGACAACCAGGAAAAAAAGTTCCTCTTTTATGTTAGTAAACTGAAAAACTGAAATAGGAAAATAGCAGAAGAAAGGGGTCCAGCATGAGACACGTGGTAAATGCCTGGTGACAGGAGGAAGAGACCAGCAGAAGCCGAAGGAGGTGTTTGCTGCACTGGCCCTGTGCTCACTCAGGCAGGGCTCACCACCCTCCTTGTGGGGTGGAGAAGAGAGCAGCTTCAGCGAGGCTGCTCCAAGAAATGCAGAAGCAACATTCAACCAAAAAGGAAAGTGGGACACTTCAAACAAGAGTGTAAGAGAGGCCAGGCACGGTGGTGCATGCCTGTAATCCCAGCACCCAAGAGGCTGAGGCAGGAGGATCACTCCGAGTTCGAGACCAGCCTGGGCTACAAAGTGAGCTTAAGACGACCAGTCTGAATGGCACAGCTAGCTACAGAGCTCCTCATTCATATCAAGGGAATACACTATCTGGCAGGCTAAATCAATATTGAACCTGAAAACGTGAGTAGTCATTCTGGCAAAAGCAAACACCGTAGCCTAATCTAAATCCCCGTGATGGATGGTAGTCAACTATTATCCCTAGGAATAGTGAACTGGGATCCCAAAACTTAAAACTTCATTCCCCAGGGCTGAGGTTTGATTTCTCAATCAGGCTGGCCACTGGGGGAAAGGTTATTACTCATCAGCAGAAGTGAGACTGAAACAAAACTGAGTTTCCCTTGGGTCTCTTGGCCTAAAAGTAAAAATCATTAATTACTGAAATCAGATGGGACAGGAAGGCTGCACTCACTGACCCCGACCTGGCTGTTTTCTGCTATGTTCACAAAAACGTGGGATTACTGGACAGCTAGTACTGAAACCTCTACAAGCCACTGCAGAGTGGGAGTATCTGTAAACAAACTCCACCATCCTCTTCCTGTGTCCTGGCTCTGGAGACACACGGGGAAATGGTCCTGCTCTTCCGGGCAGTGCTGCCAACAGCCTTTCCACCGCTCCTACGAGCACTGCTGATCTACGGCAAATTACGTTCTCTACTGTGATCTTTTATATCGCCCTCATAATTTCATACATTTCCTTTGGCTCCTGTCTCTAGCAAACTGATTCTGAAACACCAGCTATTCCTGGATGATTCATTCAGCAACAATTGTGCTCTCAGAAGGCTTCGAATCTGTACCATCTGAGGGGAATCTCAAGCTCCAGATACACTCCAGAGAAATATTATGTAAAACAACCCAAGAGTGACCAAAAAAGCAGCACCAGCCCAACGGTGCGCATAATGCACAGAAATAGACATCAATCACTCTTTTGATGGCACTGCTCATAAAAGATAGGGAAAAAAGACATCCCCACTCCTGTGATTAAATACTCTTCCTCGAAACAAAAACCAACTTTGAAAATCATACAAATTGGGCCAAGGATACAGCTCAGTGGCACAAGCACCTGCCTGGCAAGCGCAAGCTCCTGAGTTCAATTCCCAGCTCTGGAAAAAAAGGAAAATCATACAAATTATTTTTAGAAACTCTTCTGAACATTTATCAAGTAAACAGCATTGTCATGTTTTTTGCAATGATAAAATGGCATGACCAGGATTTTTTCACCCTGTTTTCACTAAAAATGTATTTTTAAGGCCACTGACTGAACTTCATGCTTTGTGATTCCTGCAGAACAGGTACCATTGATAAAACTTCTTCAGCAGTTTCCAGGTTAACTTTGCGTGAGTCTTCATACTTCTTTCCCTAAAAGAACTTAAGTAATAACCCCCAGCATTCTCCACAACCGCTCACCTTTCCCTGGTTCACGGGTACATGGTGGGGAGGGGCAGGACTTTGGTCCACCAGCTCTGCTATCAGCTCATCCAGTACCAGAGGGAGTCTGAACCATGTAACATGTCTGGATTCAACCCACTTCAAGGATGGCCCTTCTAATTGCCCTTAATTACTCTGAATTCTCTTATTTTGGGGTGCCAGATATCGAACCCAGGGGCTCATGCGCGTTAAACTCAAGCTCTACACTGCTGGACTACCCTGCCCTAGCCCCACTCCCGAACTCTTTAAGGCTACTTGAAAGGACTCATATCCACAACGCAAGCTCGCAATGACAGCCTCACAGCTCGGTGGTCTCCCTCCAGCTGTCTTCAGCAGCCCACCCTGAGCACACCGGGGCAGATGCTGTTACTCTGGCCTAGTGCCTCCCCAGGACCAGTCACCAGGGAGCCCCAGCGACCCTCGCACCACACCCAGGCTGGCTCTGCGCCACGGGGCCACGAGACCAGCTCACTGGGCCATGACCCGCGCCACTTTTAAGAAACAGAAAGACAGCACAGACTGCAAATCAGCTGCCATGAATCTTCTTTCTCAGTGACACACACATTTCAGGCTGAGTAACAACAGGCTGCAGACAAAACGCGAGAGACCGACCCTCCATAGCTGTCACTTCCTTCTCTAACTTAGGCCCCAGATAAATCCCTGCCCACTAATCTTTCTTCAGAAGCTTCCGCTTCCTTTCTCTGGCC